GGATAGTTTCAAGTTGGCAATGGTAATGAGGTGTTTTGAGTGCGTAGGAGAGAAACTGAGAGGTCATGTATTGTCATATTTTGGCCTTTTAAAAAGCTACACCAATGATGTATTAAGTCATTTTAGTGGTGTAAAAATATCTGAATGACAGGATAAAATCTACAGTTAAATAGGCAAAGGACGTAGGATAGGTAGAGACGGGAGAGCTACGATCGATCGGCGAAGTGAGCATAGATAATGGTAAATGAATTAATCAACAATGAACTAACTTTTAATGAAAGAAAGAAATTTGCCTCGGTCTCTGATAAAAAATCCATATGATTTCCGAACCGTCTCGATATATATGTTTAGATTGAAATATGGCGACATTTTTGTTCGGTATATCCAGAAATTTTGTTTCTTTACGAATAACTCTTTCCTACTGTCGTTATAATGTAATTCTGTACCTGCCACTGAAGATGCAAGTTGAGAGCAAAGAAAGCACAACAGAACGGTGATAAGAACTGCCTCTATCTTTAACAAAGAAGTCATCCTGAAACGGAAATCGTTTTAAAATCAGTTTTTCGTCAAAAGCGTGATATTACTGGCTCTATCGGTTTTCGTTTGATGACAATTTCTTGAAAAAATTTCACAGATAAATTTTGTCAGTGAGTGCTAATGAGCACGCGATTTCGAGTGCAATTTCATATCTGTATAAATAAGCAAGAGTAGAGGTTTCACTCAAACAAAATTGTATGGGCTCGTAAGTCAGCGGAATGCAATCTACAGGCTAAAAACAATACAATAATCCATGAAAGTAAACGTCCGTATTATCCATGATTTTGACATTTTGACTTAGACATTTGCCCATACCAAATCGGTGAAACTGCCTGTAAGGTTTTTCCCTCTTATACCTGCTTTGAGGAGCGAAACTCTCTTTCTCTTACTATGAAATATTGTATCATCTTTCATTTACATGTCTGCCTTGTAGATAAGTTTCGAAAGTGCTCCGTTCTATTCATCAAATATTTTTATAATATGATAGTTCCACAACGATTAAATAGGGCAGAGAAGTTTTTCTTTATCTTTTTTTTCACGTTCGAAATTTTTGAAAATTCAACTTGTACTTTAGTTAAAGCTCACGAAAGGAAGCGAGTTACCATTCACATTGAAGAGAATGACCCGATTCATATATATTCCCTGACTAAGCCAGTCTATTATAGGTGTTCTACTTACTGTAGGTTAAGGGCGTGTACAAGCTGATATTTCTCATTTCCTAGCTCCCGTATTCGATGCATTTGAGTCATACACGACACTAGGCATTACTAGTTCTAAAGGGCACACAGGAAGTTTTCTGATTTTTTTCGAAGGCACACAGGAAGTTTTATAATTTTGTAATTAGTCTTTTTCATCTTTGCGGTACTTACGGCTTGTGCAGGTGATTTAGATGGTATCTCTGTGATACAATCGTCTTAAGGATTTTTCTGAGTAGCAAGATGCACGCGAGCAACATATCGCGTCAGTAAATTTCAACTCATTTGAATCGATCAATAAGCGCACCTATAACATGGAACTATTAAACTAAAACAAAGTTTTTATTAAAAAAAAAACCAGTTACCGCATGGAAAAACCTGTTTTGTATTCAAATCAAGTGTAAGTTCTTATTATTACTTAAATCATTCCTTTCCGTGTTACCTTTATTTTTTTGGACTTTATTCAGAACTTTTGACAATAAAAGTCAAAGATAAAAAAAGACGTTACGACCATACATTGATGATTTTCAAGTGAATGGTAAAGCTGCAGCAATGAATAAAGCTATATATGCATGTAAAAGGTATAAAATATTTAGTAGGGTTAAACGGACAATAAAAGCATATAAAGGGATGAAAATAATTATAAGCTAATTAAAAACCTTAGCACGAGCGATTGAGCTTTGAGAGCGGTCTTAGTTCTTGAATAAAAAACTTTTCGTAGATTAGGAACTCAAATTTGTTCATGCACTTCTCTACTCAGAACGCAAGCAAACTGTGCACTTGTAAACATATTTAAATAGCAAAAGGGTCGTTATTTTTAGCATCAGTTCGGTCCTGAGCTTGACGGCTTTCTTATTAAACGAGGTAAAGGTCGATGTAAGCAGGGATTTTCCTTCGTTTTTGTTTACTGTTTGTTGCATGTTCTTTTCTTCTGTTTCTCTTT